TTAAATATCAAAGATGTCTTCCAAGAATAATTATTTTCGAACTATTATTTACGCGTGTTTTTCGAGCATATAAGTAGTTTTTTCACAGTTAGACTAGAGACTTCGTGTTAACTCAAGAGCAATATTCTAATTGTCAGAAATGACTTCCTAAACCATGTGCAGCGGTTATAAAATGGCATAAACTGCTTCAGGTTTCGCCGTATATTTTTGCAATTCGTCATTCCTTTTAATGGACTTTTTTTTTGCCATCAAGCAGATATCATTTTTTCTACTATTTTCATTATTCTATGGGATGATAGGAAACAACAACGTAACAGCACTAACTTTCAATGTTTTGTATTGCTTACAGACCCGTTTGGTTAGATCTGGAAACGTCTCAACTTTGAAAAAAATTTAATCATTTTATTTTTAAGACTTAAGTGATTTCTTCTAAAATATCAAATCAGTTTGCATTTCTGTTCTGACAGATTTACTTTTCTCATCTGTCAACTACACTCGTTTACAAGAAGGAAGAAGTTTGTTTATGGTCGTTGTCATAGTCAATCGTTATTTTCTATGCTAAACAAGATCAGCACATTTAATAATGAACAATAAAGAGTAATACATATTTTTTTCTACCAAGAGCCTTTTACCTCGACGCGATACCAATCCATAATATCATTATTGTTGTAGTATACCGAATAAAATCTTGTTTACATACATGTACACACTTATTAATACGAAATTCATCTATCGTCTTGCTTTTTTTCTCGTTATGCAATATAACAAATATGGTTTTAGTATCTTTTTGTCCTGACAGACCAGTGAGAAAAGTTCTCAATGACATCACTCTGTCATCTATATGTCAATTGTGACGGTAACTTATTCATATTTTATTCGAGCAATATCTCACTTAATCTTCGCAATATTTTTAACACCATATCGATTGTGAATCATTTTCAAAGAATAATATGTTTCTTATTTTTCACACTGGTTCGTCAGTGTATTTATGCCATTATCGACTATTCTTACTGAAAATATTCGTTTTATTTCTGGTTTTATATGTTGAATCCAATTTATAGCTAGATGGTTCTAGTAGATTTTTACTTTTGTTAGTTACTATCTTATTCTCCTTGTTTCCATCATAGCAATTTACGTCTAAATTTATTATCGAGTCAAAAAGATCTAAAGAGGCGCCATAAATGGGACTACAAAAAGAAATAATGGAAATCGTAATATTGAGCCACAACATAATATTATCCTTATCCTAGCAATCATATTTTAGAAGAATGAAACATCAAGCATCTTATTTATTGTGGCTACTATAAAAAAATATTTTATCTGATGATCATTGTCACGTACCGATGTTTTATAGTCATTGCTCATTTATGTAAAAACCTACTTGATCGAAGTCTATGAAAATTTATCATCGTCACAACTTTTCAAAATACTATCCAAACTAAAAGAAGTCAGCTAATATAAAGTAATGATTACAAAAAAACAATCGGACATTAAAGAAAAGAACATTGAATCAATTGATTTGTTTTACTTACAACATATAAATGCATCTTAAATCAAAGATCCCTTAGTAAATCTTTGTTTCTTTTAATTATCTGACAATATATCATCGTTGATTTCAACATCGTTTTATCCTATAAAACTTTGATTTCCAGGATATTTTTCACTATTTTTTTTAATAATTCTGCTTAACTTTATAATTCATATGGTATGCAAAAGACAACAATGTATTTATAAGTAAAACACGATATCGGCGGAAAAGAAGAGCTTCTTCGATGTATAATCGATGTATAATTAAATTCGTTGTAGAACAATAACTACGTGACTACTATTGAATTCAATATAACCATCACATCACGCATCTATGCATTCCACGTTCAAGTTTTATTCTATTGGCACTTCCGACATATGATTACAGGAAATTACGTAAATTTCCTCAAATATGTGATTCATCCTTTTTTCTCTTTGATAGTCGCAAGTCAATCTGTTGCTCTTGTCGAAAAAGAAGCTTGTTATTTGATTCTAAACGGAACAATGTCTTTATAGTCTCATATTGTTAGTACATCGTGCAATTTTATCGTTCTGACCATCTATACGTATAGTATATGACAGTATTACAATAATTACACGGTACATTACTATCGTTGTTAACATTTTTGAATGACCTTGCAACATTTACGCCTCTTGCTTTCATACAAAATTCCAGAAAAGTCATTAAGAGACACTGATCGATCCATCTGTCTTGATAATCATATTTAATTATGGGTTAAGACATACATACATACATACATTCATTAAAACCAAATGCTTACAATCTTGACTGAACAGAAAAGATATTTTTCTTCGATAAAATAAAATCAAATAAGAACAAATGTATTGCTTTTTGTATGTGATGCAATAACAGTCTATTGATATAACGATGACTTTTTAGGGTGTCGTCTTTTTAAAAAAGAGTACATAAGCATAAAAGAAAAGTGTAAATGTCTTTTAAACATACGTGCCTATGAATATGTGCCTAGGATAAGTGCATAACTGAGCGCTCAAGTAAGGGAGAATTAGAAAATTTTGTCTTTTTTATTATAAGCATACTAATCGACAGTAGTGATGATGATAACTACGACAACGTTCAACATTAACAAGTTTCAGCGACGTGGTATTGATACAAAAGAAGAAAAAAAAAAGAAAGACAAAAGAAAAGTAAAGCATAGAGAAGGAAAGAGAATATATGTGGTAAAGGAAACATGATTACGAAGCAGAGCGCCAGAAGAAAATGTGCTTAACATACAAGAAAGAGAGTCGGGAGTATGCTTCTTTTTTTTCTTCTTCTCTAAATGAAAATGAGCAAATAATCGTACTGATAATAGCTGTATAAGACTAATGGCTTCGTACATTTTTATTTCCTTGAAAATTGAGTATAATAACGTCCTTGTTGAGATTTAGAATGAAGATCCTTTTCTTCATAAGCTCATTCATCTGTATGTGTTAGTCCTTGGAGTGTGTTGCACCTCCTTTCTTTAATAATTCCCTGTCTATCAACATATAGTTATTGTTATCCATTATTATAAATGAATGTTCGAGCTGTGCAAGAATAAGAAGACAGATACACAACCATTTTTTAAGCATGCTATTATTCTTTCTTTTTAGATATGTTCTCATCAGTATTGACATATATTAATTGATGGTGAACATATCAATGCAATGTTCGTCATTCTTTTTCTTCTTTTTTATCTTAATATCTTCTCAGGGTTATTAAATGTCGATGGAAATGAGTGTCAATTTTTAACTATGTGTAAATGTACTAATTTTCCTTTATTTGCACTTATTGATACAAGTTATTTATCTAAACCACGATCATTATTAAATCAAGATTTATTTTGTACATATTCAAGTGCTCAAGTAAAAGAAAATAAAATAACAACATTTGAACAATTAAAATATTTTTATTATCGTTTTCGTACATTAACATTTGCAAATTATCCAAATATACCAACTAAAGCATTCCATTTTGTTCATTTTGAAACTCAAAGTGTAAAACAAACACATAAGGCAAATAATCGTAATGTTATTGCATTTGTTAATGTTCAACATACTGAACATGGTTAGTTTTTATAATCATCAACTTTTATTTATTTATTTCTATTGTTATTTTTATTTAGGTATATTTGAAGAATTGAATTTGTCAGATTCTCAAGATCAACTTATTATCTCATTTCTTAATTCACCATCACTTTATTATGCTAATGGAGCACTTTCCAAACTTACTTGTTATGAATTCAAATTAATTAATACTAATCCACAAATACCGATAGATTTTTTTTATCAGACAATTTCCATTCATCATTTAATTATTAATAATCCAACGTTTTCTGGTTTTCTTTCTTCGTCAAAGCATAAATCTTCATTTATTTTTCAAATTTATAAACTTTCAATAAAAGATATTAGTGTTCGTCAATTACGAGGTAAACATTTTCCAATTGTTTTTAGTTCAGTATATGAATTAACATTGGAAAATTATAATGTTAATGGCGGTTTTCGTTCATTTAATAATCATGAATTAGCCCAATGTTTTCCACTCATACGATCATTAAAAATATTTTCAAGATCAATTCAACATATAGTTTCTCGAATGTTTGAACATCTAAATCAATTAGAATTTTTAACATTAAATGGAATAACTACTATTGAAAATAATGCTTTTTTCAATTTGTATCGTTTAAAAGAATTAAATCTTGGTGAAAATATTCTTCATCTTGATTCATATGCATTTATTCATATGAACACAGATATTTTATTATTAAATCAAAGTGATAATTTTCAATTAAATGATGATAAAGACTTTTGTACATTCGTTCAATTTTCACCATTAACAAATTTAAAAACTTTTGTACAATTTTCAAAAAATTTAAGTGATTGTTCTTGTACCCTTCGTTATTTATATCGTCATTTGGATAAATCACTTATGTCATTAACACCTTATTGTTATTCAAGTTCAAGTTTATATATATTAACACAAGAAGAACGTATATGTCATTATGAAAAACGTTTACTTCAATGTGATATATTACCTGATGAAGGTATAACAATTTATGGTAAATATTATAATGTATCTTATTTCTATCAACAACAAATAACAAAACAAAGAAATCAATTATCAAAGTTTTTTCGTCATCGAGTCTATTATATTGTATTATTACCTATATTAATTATTAGTTTATGTCTTATTATTCGACAACACAAAAATCGTCATAGTAATGCATATAAACATTTACATCGTTTATTAAGACGACGAATAATATCAAGAAATGAAAATATATCAACAAATGAAACATTTGATATTATATATCATCATACAAATGATATTTTTGATCCAATGTCCTCAAGAGTATATATAGCAACTAGCGTGTGACATATTAATTTGATAATTAATCGGAATTTTGTTTTGAAATTATTTTTATTGATATATCTGAATTACTTCCATATCAGACAGAAAAAAAAAGAAAATATCAATTGTTGACATTACTAATAGGACGTGAAAGTCGGGCATTATCAGCACTTAAATTTGGTATCGATGGTGTCATCCTTCGAGATTCATTTAGCTTTGATGATCGACGTAGATTGAGAGGTTGAAATTGTGATGAAGTCAGACGTCCAGTGAAAAGGGGTAATCTTATAAAATGATTAAAAAGGGCTTATGTGAATGTTAAAAACAAAGACAAAATTAAACTTACAAAGGATTTGGAGTATTGAGAAAATCACAATCGTTGATATTAGAATCTTCAGCTCCATGTTGTCGAAGAAGTCTACTTTCTGAAAAATGAAATTTTGATGAAAATTCTATGATTTTCAAGAAAATAAATTATACTTTTCATCTGTCTAATTGCATCCATAAAATATTCAAAATGTCGCATTTTTGCTCGAATCAATGCTAATTCTTCAGTTTGTCCACTTAATAAAAAATTTTGATAATCAAGAGTGTTCATACATTGTTCTAACATCTAGAATTTTTATTTTAATTCATATCAATAAAAAAAAATTATTATATTTACAAATTGATATTGTAATACTTGTTCTTGTACATCCATCTGACTTTGTAGTATATGTGTACCCATTTGTTGAAGAGACATTGCCTAAAGAAATGAACAAAATATGTTTATAATCTTGATCTATTACTCTTACAGTATTTCGTCGTCGCAGATTTTCGTCTTCAAGTTGCCTCAATCGTCGACTATTAGCATCATTTTGAAAAGTTTGTGCTAGATTTGGTATCTTTTTTTTTCAAAGAAATAGATAATTTTTTATTCATCGAATAAATTACATACTAAATTTGTTGGCATTACATTCACTGACGGTAAGGTGTTAGCTGTTGCATAATCATTGGAACCGAAACTATTTGCAGGACCTATCAGTTGCTGTGTAGAAGGAAATGGTGGAAGCGGTGGTAGATTGCCTGTATTTCCTGTTGTAAGCGATGATAAATTCGGATTATTCATTGTAGGTAACCCGGTAGGATTGCCACCACCTTGCTGTGTAGGTCCTGTTATCGGAGGTCCAATTGGTGAAGGACCCACAGCTGAAGACCATACATTCGAAACTGATGTTGGTGGTGGTAGGCGAGACATTGTATGCTTTTATTCTGATGAATGCCCATAAAGCATGTAACAGGTAATAGGTTTCGCTTGTTACCTTCGAAGAAGAAAAAAAAATTTGTGCATTCAGCTGTATCGGCATATAAAGCAAATGCAATGCAAATATACATTGATATGTTGTAAATCACTGTACATGCATGACATTTCTTTTCTATGTACATATAGATATTTATATAGATATATATATACATAGCGCCTTTTGATAAAAAACGAATACAATTTGAATATGGCCGATAATTTTGATCTATTGAAAAATACAGCTAATAGAGATTCGACCACTTTAAATAGTATGTATGAGGAAGTTATATTTTTCCACATGAAAATATATTTGAATTTTTGTAATAAACAGCACAAGCTGGTAAAAATAAATCAAATACCAATGATAATCTAAATCATCCTACGTATAAAAGTGTTTGGACGCGTCAATCATTAAGTGATGTGAGCAGACCAATGAGTTCACCCGACACACAACAATCTCAAATTTATATTATTGAACAAAGAACAAAACCATATTGGGAAACTGGAGAAGATTCTGTTGAAGATTGGCATCAAGATCAAACGGAACGTCATCAAGGCAAGTATTTACAAAAAAAGCTTGCTAGTACAGTTCCGTTAGAGTTAAAATTGAAATTCACATGTGTTGTTCTTTTATCTCATTATACTAATATGAGATAAGTTAAGTGAAAGATCTATCAGAAATTAGAATTAGTTTTCAAGGACAATTGATCGCTAGAGAAACAATCTCTCTTTTTTTATTATTTCTACATTTCGAACAGAAAGCTTTTCTCTTTTTATTGATGTTCTATTTATATGTACCTTCTTGTTATTCTGTTGTTGTTTCTTATTTTTGTAATCTATTCCGCTTAATTAAGCATTAGTATTATTCTAATCATTGATTTAACTAGCAAATAAGCTTATTGTACAGGATGTTGTAAAAGTCATCAGCAAACAAGAAAATTATATATCTTCCTTGTGATTCTATTGAATGAACTGGTTTTTGCATTGCTAGTAGAGGTATATATGGGCAAAATGGTCTCGATTCTGTCATAATCGGGATCAAGGTCAATACCTTTCTATTGAGAGTGATATCTTTTATGTTTGTATAAAGCGTACGTCAAATATCATATTTTTCCGACTCACATATTCTAAAGGTTTACGCAAAAATTATTGAGTAATAATGACTTCAATATCTACTGTTACAATTTCGATGGTAAAATCAATTTTTTTTTCTCGTAAACAACATAGTGATCAAATTCAAACGTGCAGAATAGACAAAGTATGAGTTAATGAAAGAAAAAAAGTAATGAATCTGCAAGAGGAAAACTATTAGACATCATGCAAATTGTGCAAGATGCTTCGCACTCTTTGACACTACTGGAAAATGATATCGCACTTTTTGTTAGTACAATGTATTACTAAGCGCGGAACCAGGACTAAAAGCTTTTTTGATTGAAACTGGAATCAAAAACGTTTGGTTTCGCTTCACACTAGATAGAGGATATTTTCAAGACTTTATTCATAAATATAAAGTAGCATCTCCAAGTTCACTACGTAATGAAGTTGTTTTTGTTTTTAGTTGTAAAAACTAATATATAGAATATTTTCCCTTGATTTTCAACTTTGTTTCATTAATATGGGCTTTCAGTCATTCAAGTCTATTTCTTTTGCTTTATAAACATTTCTTTAACACTTCTGAAATATTCTGAGTACTTAATAGATATCTTCAAAACAATTTGTTCATTCTTCATCAAAAATTTTGATGAAGGATAAAGTGAGTGAATTGACACAATTTTAGGATTTTCAAAGAAGCTAAACTTGAGATCAATGTGTCTAGTTTGTTAAAAGTGTCTAACCAATGTTTATAAAGTAAGAGAAATAGATCTGAATGACTGAAAGTCTACAATAATGAAACAAAATTCAAGAAAAAAACTTGCATCTTTGTTTTTTTGCAACACGAAAAAAGGATTTTATTGTGTATTGAACAACTAGGAAGTGCTACTTTATATTTATGAATAAAAACTTGGAAGGGTCCTCTAATATCAGTACAAAAATCAGTTCATCCAATATGATCATTATGGAGATATTCAATTCTCTTTTTAATCCATGAGTTCCCGGTCACTCTGTATATATCCATTATATCTACAGCAGGTCTCACTACACTATGATACATGTTGATAAACTCAGAAATAATGATATTGATTATTTTTCAAACTTATAATTTGATCAGTTTTCACTTTTTATGTTGCTTATATGACGACTATGTTATATCAATGCGCATCACTATCCATCCTCTTTGACATCTTGAATATAATTCTAAGTCTGCGAAAAAATATAAAAACTGAACACAAACATATTTCAACCATTCAAATATCGAGAAAGGCTTTTAAATATTTGGAAATTTTCTAAAACAGTCGTTTAGCACCATTTTCTGTTCGCAAGGAATTCTAGTAGAGTAGTTGGATGACTGTTGTTCTCGATTACTAGAGAAACGTAGCTTATCACCGTTGGGCTTCCTTCTTTTGCCATGAAGAAAAAGCCGGAAAAGTCTCGACTTAAAATTTACACTCGCTATTTTTTTCTTCAAAAAACATTTTATGAGTTCCACAAAATCAATAGTCTTTCTTTTTTACTTATATATATATATATATATATATATAGGTGAAGGCTATGGAGCAGAACAAACATCTCCTCATTATCAAGAAGGATATTACAGCGATGAAAAACTATATAAAAAGAAAGGAATATCAGTAAGTATTCTGCTTTTTTATTAACTTTATTTTCAATATACATTGTTGATACTGTAGGCTAAAATTGATCGTCTCGCTCAACGTTTTCCTGTACTAGGTAAATTTTACAAACAACCGCCAACTTCTCCTCATAATAACGTATCAGGTCAAGATTTTAATTATGATCAAATGTCTAATTCTGTTATTTCAAATCCAATAGCACATGAATTAACTGCTGATGATTTAACGTTAAATAAACGATATTCGGATAAATCACGTATGCAAAATATAAAACTTCAAGAAAAAAATCAAACACAACCCGTTGATATTTCTGTGGATCTTGAAACAAATAATATGTACTTATGTGATGTTGGTCGAAGTCTTGTTGAAATTTTTGATATCAATGGTACACTTCAACATGTAATTGAGGATAAAATTATGAGTAAATTTCAACCAACAGCTATAGCTGTTGCTTTTGATGGAACACTTATTCTTGCAAGTCATTTTAATCATTGTCTTCATATGTATTTACCAAATGATGCACCGAATCAAGCCAATTGTTATTCTTATAAACAATTTAAATTAGGTATAAAGGGTAATCAAATACATCAATTTTATAATCCAGCTGGTATTGCTATTGATCATAGTGATGGATATATATATGTTTGCGATCGAGGAAATTATCGTATACAAGTTATTACACCTGATGGTGTATGTGAACGAACAATTGAATTATTTTTAGATGATAAAAAAAAATATCCATTAGATCCAGTTCGAATTGTTGTTCAACAGAATTCCGATCTAATCGTTTGTATTGTTGGTGCTGGTGATGCCATATGTTTTATTCCAAAATACACTAATGGGTAAGAATAATGTTGATTTATTTCACAATTTGATATATTCACGAATATACAATTTTTATTTTTTTAGACCTATACATGTCGAGCCATTATGTATAGTTGATGGAAATGGCTTAGGTCTTGATAATGCATCTGGCTTAGCTGTAGATATTCATGATCGTATATTTATTTCTGATACAGGTCATCATCGTATTGTTATTTGTACACCTGATGGTTGTTTTATAACAAGTTTTGGTATGGAAGGTGATGAACTTGGTCAATTGAAACGTCCATGCGGTTTAGATATAACAAACGATGGAACTATTGTTGTTACTGATTCTGGAAATAAACGAATACAATTATTCGGTTTAATACGTGAACAAACACCTGTAAGAAATAATCCTCCTAAAGAAAATTCTCATGTTAGTAACAATTTATTGCCCATTGAAGAACATGATTTAACTGCAACTCTGTAATATTTAACTATTTTATTATCATAAACTTGCTCTTTTTTTTTTAATTATAATTTATTTCTTTATTTTGAATATTATAAAACCGAGTGTCTTTTGCATGCAACCCCATAATGATTTTTAGGATCGATTACAGCACGACCACATGAGAAACAAAAACCTCGTTTACAATATTGGCAAATAAGATAATTACCAGTACCAGATTTAATATTGAACTTTTCACATTTTATATTTGGACATTTTTTAGTACGTTCTACAAGCAGTTTACTAATTATTGGTACTTGTAATGGCGTAGATTCATCTGGATTTTCTTGAATGTTTCTTTCACGTGCTAATGCTTCTTGTATTTTATCAAGATCATTTTCATAATTTTCAATTAAGATTTTTGTTTCTGTTGTTTGATCTTGTGCATTACTCCAGTTAAATGGCGTACGACAACGTGTACAATACATATGATCACAACCTTGGTTTTTTTCAATTGGTACTTGACATTTTGAATTTGGACAAAGACGTGTTGAATTTTCGATTCTTGCAACAGCAAGAAATTCACTGAAAAATTTTTCTGCATCATCTGGTTTAAAATTGAGAACTTGCATTTTTTGACGTAATTTACGATGCTTTTCTTTTAATTCAGCTAATTCAAGTTCACGACCACATAATGTTTGAGAATGATAAGTTTTTTTACATTTTTTACAAAATGTAAAACGACATTGAGAACATAATGCTAGATTATCTTTTTCACTATCAATTAAAACTGCTTGTTGACATCTAAGAATGAACTCAAAATTATATAGTGATATTTAAGACGGACTAAATTTTTACCAACCTTGGACACCAAACAATATCTGGCATTTGTTCAAGAGTTTTTTGTAATAATAATCGTTCATATTTATCGTATAATTGATCATTATTAACAATTATTTTTATTTCAGATGGTAATAATGCCAATTGACATTGTAAATCAGGACAAAGTAACCATTCTACTGAACCTGTATTAATATGAATTTGAGCATAATCATGGAGACAAATTCGACAAAAAGCATGATGACATTTATGTAATCGTAGCATATCACGTCCAGATATATTATTCGACAAACAAATAGAACATTCATGATATTCATGAAGAAATTTTTCATCTTCTTTCATTCGATTGTATTCTATTAATTGTTCATAGACATATGCAGCTTGATAAGGTTGATAACTAGACATAGCTCGTGGATCATCATTATCATTATCATTATTAATATCTTTATTTGATAAACAAAGTTCATTAATTGATAAAAATTGTTCTTTAAGATATTCAATCCATTGATAAACAATAGGTTCACTTATATTTTGTTCCCATATTTTATCTAATTTTAGACACATTTTTTCAAGATATTCACGAGATAAATAACATGATGAAAGAACAAATGTTGGAGAATATATTGATGATGGATATTGATCATGAAAATGTACAGTTAAAACTAATGGTGGAAGATATTGAATTAACGTTGATAATTGATTAGAATTATCGATAAGACGTAAATAAAATGGTGTCAATAATTGAAATTCAATATCAATTTCAAATTGATCATTTTCATTGCTTAAATCTGTAACTGCATCACCTAAAATTGATTTTAGTATAAGCAATTCTTCTTGTTGTTGCTGCTTGTCAGTTGTCATTTTCAACAGTCTATTTTAGTATATTTTGTTTTTTACCTCCTGATATATATATTTTTTTTTCTCTTTTGTGACTCAATATTGCCTTGTTCTTGTGCAATTATAAGAAAGAATAAAAAATGTAAGCAAACTTTTTTTTTCGATGTAGCAAAAATACAGACAAAAACAAAATAATTTTATAGATAATTTAATATTTAAATGTAGAATAAAAAAAAAATAAATCAAGTTGTAAGTAGGTTTGTTTTTTTTGTACAACTAATATTTATTTAATTTCGACGTAAAGCATCAAGACGAGCTTCTAAATCGGCATCAGCTGTGGATACTGCTTGTTGACCTTGTGCTGGATTAGCAGCACGACCAGCTAAAACACCATTTTGTGCAGCTAAGAAAATAGAAATAAATAATTGTCTTTTCTTTTAATCTTATTAAATTAACTTACTTGGTATTTGATTAGCTATAGATATATTAAGTTCGCTAAGTACTTGATCAACAAGTTCTTCACTAAACAAATCAATAATATTAATTTTTCTTTTTGTCTATTAAAAAAAAAATTTCTTACGTTGCTTCTTCATCATCATCTCCTTCAAAAGCAGCATCCATAGCATCATTCATCATTTCTTGTTTTATATTATTAGCTGTCATATTTTGTTCGAACATTTGCATGGTTCTTTGAAAATCTTGTAATGGCATCTAAATCATAAAGAAAAAATGCTATTAGTATAATTTCTGCGGGATTAAAATGTAAAACAAGATGTAGTTGCTATTGTTAGCCACCGGAATATTAATTTTTTCTACCTATTTTTGGGATGCATTTCTTCACCATCATTTTACTTAATCTTTCAGAAATGCAATAAAGAAGTAGTACATGTATATGATAACGAGATGTTATTGATATACGGTCTTTGATCGTATATCAAAAGTGTCTATCACGATCTGTGAAGAGTAGGGGTCCAAAGACTGAGAAACAGAAATTCCTTTTCAATTTCCTCGCAGTTTCATGATTGTTAGAATTAAAAAAAGGCAATGTTCACGATACTTTTTTCTCTCTCACATTAATGTACATAAAGAAATTTGTGCATATGAATACATAGGTATAAGAACTATTGCAGAAAAAGCATTCCTTTGACTTTCATGAATAGCGGAACGGTAAGAGTACTAATGGTCAATTATCTGATGAATTGTCATAGTTCCATTGAGAGTTCTTCTACAACTTATGAATACCTATTTTTCATTTCCTTGACATTGCCATATATATTTCAATACTTCTTTTAGATCGACCGCTATAGCTCTTAGTGACTACGTTGTTAAACAGATATCGGCAAAGAACTGTAGGCAAATCTCAGCACCATCAGCCATGAAATATTTCTGGGCAAGTCAGTAACGACTAGTTGTCTCGGATCAACCGTTCACTAGTGTGTTGACTACGTTGTAACATATATTTGGTCTTGTGACTAGTATGTAATTAGTTAGTGTACACGGAGAGATCAAACAATCTAACACAAGAACTCTGCGTCAGGTCGATCGTCTGCTCAGAGCAAGAGCTAGTGATAGTCATAAGGAAAATATCGGACTATTGGATCTACGACTAGACAGCACATCATGTCGCAAGGTAGCTGAACAGCAGGAATACTCTTCCATTTCTTTAGATCGTGTTTCACAACCAAAACAAACAAATAATAAGAATTCCTTAGATATAAATAAAATAAACAAACCATTTTATTTAATCTTGCTAATGTTTTGGTTGTTTTAACCATAACACTAGCCATAGTCATTTGAGCATTCATTGATGATGCTTCGGATTCTAATGTTGATAAAGTTGCATCCATAGCACCTAATTTATTAATTTGATTTCGTTGATTGACAATATTTTTGGCATATGTTCGTAATGCTTTCTATTGAAGTAAAAGTAAAATAAAATAAAAATAAATAAAGGTAAGAAAATAAACATACTTGTTCGCCTTTAGCTGCTAATTTTCGTATTTCATTTTCATTACGTGTCTTTTCATTATTTAATCGATTTTTTTCACGTTCAAGTTCACGTCGTGCTCGTCGAATAGCTCGTTTATTTTCTTGCATAATTTCTTTCGGTGTTTTTCTGTGAAATAATTCTCTTAGTGTATCCATTATTTGATGATGATGATGATGGTCTATTAAGTCTAATAAAAAAATAATCTATAAAATAGGATATATATATATATATATATAAATATATGTTGTGACTCAAATAAAAATTTGTTCAGATAAAATTAAACTATTTTTCTGATGAACTGAAGAATTTAAAGAAAGATCCATAACTAGCGAATGAAAGAGGCTAAGCATAAGTGGAGAGTAGAAAACGAATTCAATCACATTCACTCTCGCACCCTCCTCCAGACTTTGCTCACCACTGGTCTAGTTCATATTCTAATTATGAATCTTTCTTTAAGTTCTACAGCTCATCAGAAATGTATTTTAGTATGATCAATAACTTACAGGGTGAGCTAAAAATAAGGGAATAACTTTTTTTCGGATATATCCATAAATGAATAATTCGAATTAATATGTATGCCTCACATACCTCTTAGCAGTACTTAGAGAAATTGCATGTCAAGATTATTTTACTCTAAAATTATGTTGGAATATATAATTCGTTCGACAAATTCTCATATAAAGAAACAAGTAGATAAGAACCTGAAAGAGGGAAAAAACATCAATGTCTCATAATATTATATCAGGATACGCTCTTATATATTCCAATATAGTCTTACAGTAAAATAACAATGACATGCAATTTCTCTATGTACTGCTGGAAAATATATGAGGCATAAATATCAGCTTGGACTATTCATTTATGGAGAAGATATTCCGAAAAATATTTGTTCCCTTACTTTTGCCCTACCCTGTATATATGAGTAATAACAGGCGCATAAATGAGTAAAAAAAGAAAACAAGTGAAATGACGTGAGTGAGTAAATATTCATACACACACAAGGATTTCTCATTCATCATGAATCATGCTGATAAATAATATCAACCAGTAGAAATTCGATTCGAAGAATATTTTATAATTTAGATTTGATTTTAAGAGATTAAATAAAAAAATTGTTCTCAATATTTTATCATTAAAATAAGAGTATGAGTCGAAAGATGGCGCTATTAATTAGAAACTGAGATCGACGGGTTATAGAAAGCCAGTTCTTTTGTTTTTACAACGATAACGCATTTTTACAGAATAGAAAAATATTTTCAAAGAGTCAGCGTGTAGATCAATAGTCAGAGATCATTTTTAGATTCTATTTTCTTGTATTGGATGATAACCGAATGATATTGAAAGCTGAATATCAAGTTCAAAGGGCAATCACTTTATAACATGTTATTGTGATAATCTAGTCACATTCTTGTTGGATAGATAGATTTAAAAAAATTATTAAGATTTCATTTTCATTGTTATGGTATGGTAACAATATTTCAAAAATCTTGTGAAAACATCGATTGATCAAAGCATAGAGTATCAAATTTTTTTAGATAAAAATTTTCTTACTTTATTGATTGATTCAATCAGTAGAAATCAAAACTAAATCCAAATTTTTGTTTGAATTAAAACAAAAAAACAATGATTATCTTTGTAGTTCAGTCAATCGAGAAAAGAAAAGGATGATGTCATTTCCATTAGACTTAGCAACTATTGAAATTGCTAAATTGTCTTGTTTAAAGTCATAGATATACTACGTAGTAATCAATGAACACAGAAACTATTTATTCAGAATCTCACGTGTTAATTTTTCAAACGTAAACTTGCGATTTCTCTTCTTTATCTCCGTATATATTTTTTTCTAAATTCCATTTTCTGTTTTTATATTCAATGATCTTTTAATAATGAAAAGAATGTTCTATCATTATCTCAATATTGTTTCTGACTCATAACACAGATAAGCATCCATGAATGTCTGTTAAAATGAGTGGTAGAAAAATTATTTGCTGATATCATTATGAGTCTCATGGACGCAAATACGAAAAAGAAAAAAGAAACATACAACAGCTACTAGATGACATTCGAATTCCACTCGATTGGGAAATATGGCGCAAAACTTTCGATGTCAATTGACGGATAAATCGATATTTTCTTTAAAAAAACGAATAATTGGTCGAACGATTGCATATGAAACGCTTTTCTCCAAAAGATAACTACGATTTAGTGGAACCAGGATTTTTTTTTGTTACTGTAAATCGGGAAGGTTATGTTTTGATCAATTCTATCATCGAAATTAGAAAGAAACTGTGAAAATATTATCGTGAAATCCATTACTGAGAGAACTTTATTAACGGATATACATATAACTTCAAAGAATACTATCAAATCGATCGTTTGATTCTCTCTCTCAAATTCATTATCAACAATCAGTAAAGAGATGGTTGGGTAACTCTTATTGCTGTCTTCGTTTTAATAATCTCAAAGCTTGCGAAAAAAAAAACAAAGTCCACAAAAACTTACCTTTTCGAATGACTTCCTATAAGAAAATGGAACGTCAGATTAAGACAAAAATTAACGAATTCTATTGATTATATGATAGGATTTCATTCTCGTATTTGAACGAATATTTTCTGACTGTCACTTTTCGAAATCATCGTGACAGAAGAACAGAACACATTAATTTCAATCAATTTTAGAAGTCGCCCAAATATTTATCATCGTTGTACTCACGACAAATTCTTCGACAATATTCTTGATTAACTACCAAAAAAATATTTTTTTGCTTCCAAGGTCTCATACAATTGTTAAGAAAAACTGAATAGGTAACCAGCAGTCTCGTTTTCAGCATTTTCAAAAAAAAAAAAGTTTCCATTCCAAAATCATAATTTTGTGAAGTGAATTCAGAACAAACGAAACTTCATATGAAAGTTTTTGAAAAAAGAATTGATCATAGAGAAACTTGGAACTTTCTAACAACATTTGAATGAAAATCCTGTGACTCTCAGATTTTTACATCATTACGACACAAAATAGCGATTTCGAGTTATGTGTTAGGAAAGTAAAAGTATTCACGAATGACTACTGTAGAGTGCTTCGCATCGTATTAAATATAAAAACAGAAAAATCATCTTAAATGGCGAATCGTACGTCAAAGAAATACTTTTCATACAATATTAAATAATGTATTGCGATAGGTTTGTTCAAATAACTTCAATAAACTATCAAATACATAAACAATCCAGATTTAAGAAAAATTTAACGTAGTACACTGTTTTCTTGATCTTCTCGAGAAGATAGATTCTTAATTAAATATAATGAAACAACGAATATTCCGACATGTAATTATTTCGTCTCGTACTCAATTATTGACTTCTGAATTTGTACAATGTTTTGATAAATTAATGAAAAGTTTCATGCGATTATATTGTATGTTTTAAAAACTAGAACACTATAAAAACTGTAGGTATTTTGTAAGAATACCATTCTAAATTTATTTTCCATGAATGTAATTTAGAATAAGCTTATAGCTGAATTTTTTACAGTGTTCAATTAATTTTTTAAAATTTATCCTTAAAAAAAGCATATTTTTACTTAGCCTTTGAATATGATTGTTCGATGATAATCCTGAATATTAAATTTTGTTATGAAATTAGTAAATATAGTTTTAATAAATAATAGGTGGTCATTCAATAACATTATGCACATTATCTTTTCAATTTCTGTATGAAATTGTTTTATCATTGATAATCGACTCACTTTTTTCCAATAAAAACTCGAATGATAGATCAGTTTGATTCCTCTCAAATATTTTCCTTTTTTCTTCTTATTATCTTCATTTATCGATAGAAACAACATAAGTGTATTAATAGAATTGAATATCATATATATCAAGTTTATGTTGCTTGAATAGTGCTGAAACTATGACTGTTTATTTGATAGTTTTTCACGATAATATCAGCTACAAATTCAAGTTTTGTTTATCTATATAAAGAACCCTATATATTTAAACTCGGTTTTCATTCGATTATTCTTTGAATGTTGGTAGACAAAATTTTCAAATAACACAAAAACAGACAAACTATGATCAAAGAAAGTCGAGTCAACTGCAAAATATTCTAGACAAGTAGTATTTTGAAAAGTAAAAAAAAACATTTATTTGCTTTATTAGCTGAATATAAGAGCAACGTCTATTTAATCAGTATTTTACTGATGTTATCATTGTTGTAAGTGTGTAATTAGGCTTGCAGATTGTTTTAAGTAAAAACTCGATATAGAACGCAAAGATTAATATCCGTAACTCAGATTTTTATTATTTAATTGAAAATACTAGATAATTGAAAAATATTTTTCATAATTTCCTCAACTATATGTATTAATATTTCAAGCACCATCATTACTTCTTCAAGATCATTAATGCGCCAACTTTGATTGTAGAGATTGTCACATACTTTTGTGTGTCTTAGGCCACTCAAAGTATACCTGCCGCTGCATTATCGTTCACGATGAGAGGGCATATTGTTTAGGTTTGTGTCATATTTTGACATTTTTTTTCTTTTTTAATCAACAGCGGATTGTACTTTTTTTATCCAAAAACAAGAAACTAATATGAGTATGAAGAATTCATATTGAATTATTCTCTTGATCTAAGTAAATATGCACAAACAATAGTCAATATAACTAATAAGCTTAGATTTTATTACCTTTTCAAGTGAGATCATCAACCGAACCTACATCAATGATAAGCTGTAAATAGTTTATAGCTGGATAATTCTGTGTGCACAAACAATTCTAGGTAAAAGTAATCTATATAAAATAGTAGTTCATTTCGATTTACATGAATTAAATCAAACAATTAGTACTGATATTTCTATGATTAAAATAACTAGAATCATCAGTACCGTAACAGAATATTTTTAAACTAAAATAAGAAGTTCTTTTTTATTTTGTAAAATTTATTGAACGATATAAGAGCACCTTTTGTATGACAAATATAAAAGAAAAATGTCGAATTCGATATATTCATAAATATGAATTTCGAAGATAAGAACAAAGCACCAACGGTTTAAGAAAATAATACAGCTAAAAGTTATTTATGTTCATTAGTTGCCGATCGTAATGGAAGTCTAATATGATGTATACTTGTTGGTTGTTGTAAAAATAATTCCCAAGCAGATTTTTCTTCTTCTGTTGTATCTAAAGATTTAAGTAATTTATTATCAAAATTTCCTTGGGATGAATTAAGTCTAATAAAACTAATCATTGTTTTTCGAAAACGTTCTTGACGCCATAAACTTATTTCAATAGATATATTTTTTAAATTACTACGTGGTATATTTTCCCATCGTAATGGAATATCCCATTTCGGTGATGGTCCTTTACGTGTTATTACTAATTTTCGTTTGATTTTATCAGGCATTAATACACTAAATTAATAACGAAAAAAAAAACACGAATAATAAAATCATAATTAAAATAATAATAATAAAAAACTATGTATTTACCCTTTGCATATAATATCAAAATTATGTTTCCCATGATAAATTGTTTTACCTTGAATAGAATTAACTTGTATAGTTCCTAATTCTTTATTTATTAAATTTGCAGAAAAAGTCAAATCAAAATGTAATTCATTAGAATCTGCCGTGGGTTCAATATCTGGTATTAACTATATATCAAAAAGTAAAAAAAATAAAAATAAAATTATATTAGATTTTGAAAAATAAATTACATTGTCTTTTGGCATTCGAGCTAAAAGTGTATATACTTCGAATTTATCTAATATGCAGTTGACTAATGGAATATGTATTTCACCAAGAAAATCATTATGTCCTACTGATGTTTGACTCCACATTGAGACCCATAAAGTACGTGAATTAAAATCTTCTGCATTTACATGATACTAAAGAAAAATGAAATATGTTTTTCTTTTTTTGTTTAAAAAAAGAAAACAAACTAAAAATAAAAACTTACACGAAATGCTTCGTTATATACTGGTTTTATTGTATCTTTTTTAACAGTTGTTTTACGCTTACTAGCTTTAGATTTATCAGGTAATAAATAAATTTTACAATATCTAAAAAGATATTTTATTGAAAAAAAGATAATAAAATTATTTGATTTGAAATACTTACGGATTTGATGTTTGATTTCGTTTAACACGAGCTAAATCAGTACATTTTGTAATATAAATATCTAATGAACCTGTATTGATATTATAAGAAAGTTTTAATTCAATTGTGCCAGATATATCATAATCATGATGAAATCTCATTTCACCCCATGCACTATTTAGACTTGATTGCGAACTCTATATAGACAAAAAAAAAAAAGAAGTAAATCAATAATCGATAATAAGAAATAAATAAAAAGTTTAAATAATTTATTATGGTAATGAGAGTTAATTAAAGGCATTAATTCTTAACTTACGTAAATATCGTTCATGGAAGACGTTAATTTAGATGAATCCTATAGTTAAATATCCTTACTATTTTATTTAAATATTTATTTTTATCAAATTTTCGTAAGAGTTTCTATTTTATAGAATATGTTCTTTCTAATTTTAAAAAAAACTAAACTTACCAATTGAACTGTTTCAGTTGTATCATCAACATTTTCACTATTAGTAGCTGATGTATGATTTCTAACATTTTCAGGTTTATTTTCACGATTATTTTGAGAATCATTTTCATTGTTTGCTATTGTTATGCTATCTGATACATTTGAAATTCTTTGTATTGGTTGTGATTCAATTGTATTTGTTGAAACAAATGTATTTGATGAATTATGACGACTGATATTAGATGATTGTTTTGATTCATCTATAGATGATTGTCGTATTTCAAGATTTGCACGAGAATCTAAATATTAAAATAAGTAGAGAATGACAAAGTTAAAGTTAAAGTTTAAAATACGATGATAAAAAATTCGAAAAATGAAGTTACAAGTAGAGAAAGAAAAAGTACAAATGTTTTTTTTTTCATTGTGTTTGATAACGTTTTTTGTCCGATGATCGACGTACAGTACGTTTTCGTGGTGGCAGATTTGTTGTCGTTGTTACAAGTGTATTCGAATTCTCATTTTTTTGTGATGATGATGTTAAATGTAATTTCATAAGAAGATATTTCGTTTTTGATAATTTAACAGGTGGACTTATTGGTGGTTTCGCAATAGATGTTGCACTTGGCGCTTTTACAACTGAACGTTGTGGTGATCGTATATATTCATCATCATCATCACTAACAAAACCATCACTCCATCGTCTTACTAATGGTACTTGATCATTTTTTTGTTGATTTCGATTTGTATCATTTGTCTGTACATTTGACTTTGTTTTTCTTACACGTGTATATGCTTCCATACGTTCAATTTCTTTTGATAAAATCTTACCATCATAATAATATTGATATATTGCTTCTTCTTCTTCTTCTTCACCAATACTATGTAAGGCATGTTTATCAAGAATAATTTCTTCTGTTGATGAAACTTTAGTAATTGTAGATGATGAAGAATAAGCCGGCATGTTATTCACATATGAGAAATTTGTATTCATTGGAATTGAATCTTTATCAATAATTCGTCCACTATGAAAATATTCTTCCATAGAATCATCATTCCAATCGAATGTTCGCGAATTTCCATTTGGATCAGTTATATAAATAGCTGTTGGTATGATTAGATTGGAAATATTAGATAATGAATATTTTTCTTGACTATTAGTTGTTTTTTTAATATTTTTTTTATTTCGTATTAATAAACTTTCAAAACTACTTTCATCACTTGATGTTTCATCATCATAATGTAAACTATTTTGTGAATGAAGATAGGAACGTGTAGATGTCATATGTGAAGGTGGTGCCCAAGTTGGAGAAATTGATGTTGGACTTTGATCATCATCAGTTACATTTGGTTTTTCTAACGTAGTTTTACGTTTCATTTGAGCAGATTCGTCAAATGAAAAAATCGAATATGGACGTTGTGGAGGTGATGGTTGAGTTTTTTTCGGTTCTATAAATATAGTTGTTGACTTAGGAGATTTTTTTGCAGCAATTGTTGTTACTGTTGCTGTTCCATATTTATTTTTCGTATAAGGTGCAAGCAGATTTGGATTTGAAGATTCAGCTGATGTTGTTATAATTTTTCTTTCCAAAGCTTTTCGACGTGTATTTGATGTTGGTAATGGTGTTGTTCGTTTTTTAATTGCTATCGTTGATATTTGTGGTTCATTAATATTTGATAATTCATTTTTATTATTATTTGATGTTATTTCATTGGATACTGTTTCAATATTTGATGTTTCTACGTAAGAAATTTTATTGTCATATGTTTGAGGAAAATTATTAGATGTTGTAATATTTTCAGGATTGTTTATTGTATGTTGATGTTCTAATGCTTTAGCTTTCCAATGTTGAAATATTTCGACAATAAATGCTTCTTTATAAATTGAATCAGAATCATCATCAGGATTTGTAAGATGTTTACTAATAAATGTACGATGTCCTGTTGAGGGATAAAAACTTGGCATTTCGGATTCGATTAATAATAATGAATGTTGAGCAAATTTTGTTTGTTGTTGATCATGATGATAGAGTTTGGTCATTGTGCTATGAAAAAAGTAATTCAATGTTTCACATTGATGAATATAATTATCTTAATATCAGAGAAAAGCAAATGCACCGTTTAACTATACTTGTCATTTTTTATTTATTTTTTTTTTGACGGACGTTTTTTTCCTCTTTCTCTGCTCTACGATAATTATGTCTATTTACAGTACTTTGAAAATTGACGTCAACTTAACGACGCTTATTCAAGTGTGACTGATGAGTCATAGAAATGCAATAAGCGTATTGATACTGCACATATACTCAGTACTTCGTTCTATTAGATATGACTTCATTTGTAAAAACATTTTCCGCTTTTTTTTTCATAGTCGAATAAAATACATAAATTTTCATTTAAATTAATCTTATTTATAATTTATGAAAATATTCATATAGAGAATTGATTGAAAAAAGATTATTTTGTTCTTTTCTTTGTATCTTACTTGATCTCGCTTGTTGCAGCCCATTTTTGATGTATAAATATGATATAATTTGATCACCAAGTTTGTTGTTTTGTTCTATATCTTCCCAACCAACCATTCACAACGACAACGATACGAATGATATAATTATGAAACGAGTTAATATCTTAATCCGTTATGATTCATTGGGTTTCCAGCGCAAGAAAAACAAGAAAGAAAAAATTACACAGAGTAATAAACAAGTAACGAAATAGTTATTTATATCACAAAGACAGGCAAAGCTACAGGTAATATATGTATTGATATGTATAAAAGAATCGTTCAGGCGTAAATTCAAGCGACGTGCACTTTTTCTCACGCGCGCGGCTATCAACCGTAAAAAATAGACTTTAGAAACACGAACACAGCGAATCGAAAATGAAAGAAGAGAAAGAAAGAAAAATAACAAGAAGAAAAAAAGGTATTCCGACGCCGGGAATCGAACCCGGGCCTCCTGCGTGAAAGGCAGAAATCCTAACCACTAGACCACGTCGGATACATTGATATATAAAATACATACTCGGCCCACTTTGCATACTGGGTACTTTTAGTGATGTTGTATCTTCATCTTTCATAGTTAAACTAGTCGATATTTTAGAATTCAGTTGCTTTTCTGAATGTAACGATGTACGTGATAATGGCAGTTGTGGATGTGAAATACGATGAACTGCATGACGTAAACTTTGCATTGAAATACTAAGATGTTTATTAGATGGTTTTTCAGTTGTTGTAGATGTTAAACTTAGTTTGGAATCACCTATCAACAAATTAAAAATTGAAATATCTTTTTCTTATATATCTTAAGTCTTAGATTACTTAAAACATAAAAAATGTCAGTTAGATTCCAAAAGAAAAATAATTATATGAAAAGAAATATTATAGAAAAATCTTTCTTGATATTTAAGTAATATACAGGGGTTGTCAAAATTATAGGCCCCACTCATATGAACATGCAAAAATATTTATTTTATTTCAAAAATGAATGATATCAATCTGTTACTTGCGCGTCTATGTAAGACTACTTAATTACTATCTGATATCCTAAACTCCCTCTTTCATGTCTTGCTCTTTCTAGTTCCTTAGTTTTAAGTGGATACGGAACATGAAAGAATTTATTTGTTGGCAAAATTTGACTAGTAGATGACGAAAGTTCAAGAAATATCCAAAATCTTGAAATTTTGAAGTAAAATATTTCTGATAATACCTCAAATAGAATGAAAAAGGTAGAAAACAGTTAATGTTATAATAAAATATTAAAACTGAAGGTTTGGAATGCTTTAAAAGATGAGAAAATATGTTTTTTGCCAAGGGGGTCTATAATTATGGTACAGATATTTTTCAGTTTTCTTCAATTTTTTCTTCAAAGAGCAAGACATGAAAGAGGGAGTTTATGATATCAGATAGTACTTAAGTAGTCTTACATAGACGCGCAAGTAACAGATTGATATCATTCATTTTTGAAATAAAATAAATATTTTTGCATATTCATATGAGGGGGGCCTATAATTTTGACAACCCCTGTACTATTGATGTGAAGATCTACATTGCAATGTGACTGTATATACATATATAGATAATGTTCTATTAAAAAGTAATTAAGTGATCATTGCAATTCATGTTAATCGAAATATATTCAAGTTCGAATATATAAAAAATTGAAAAGCAATATGTTATCAATAAAACTACGCTGTTATCGAAAGTCTACGTTGAATAGTCGACTAGAATTTGTTTTATGTTATCATCAAATGCTGCACCATCATTTGAAAGAGAGATTGGTAAGCGAATATTAATTTTTTTTTTACTCAGCAATGTCATTAAAGGTAATTCATTGAATAAAGTATAACGTCATGAAACATCTATTATTCTTGATTGTCAAGTTTTTGACATTTCTGACGTATATGCAAACTCTTAAAAAAATGAACAATTTCTTTATTTGGATACATTCACAAAAATAAGTCGTGTATCTTGGTGTTCACGTCATGTGAACAATTGTAGTTCTTATTTCGAAGTTCAATTATTTTAATGGATGACTTGTTCACTGTATTACTATCGATGTTCAATCAAGTCTATAGTTTACATTAGTGCTATATTGAATTTTGAATCGAGTTTAGCAGAGGCTCTTAGTTGTGAAGTAAGTGTTATTTTATTTCTATTTCAACAAGTATCATTATGTTTTATTTCCTCTAGTTTCCTGCTAGTAGTCATGTGAATTGCTACTTCTATTTCACTAAAGTACTGTATTGCAACATTCAAACACTTGACTTATCAGGTGAATATGATACTCATGAAGGAGTTCGAACTATTCAGAGAAAGTTGTAACTCTTCCATTATTGCGTTGGTCGTTGCTTGTATCAGTTTTGCACAATCTTTATGATGCAATTCTTCAAGAAACATCGTCAAAAAAGAATAAATGGAATCTTTGTTTGCCAATTTTGACAACTAATGAGCAAAGCAATTGATACAAAACAAGGGTGAGGGTGTGGATGTAATATTGATGTTAAAGCAGTATTAGATGAATTATCTTATGTTGATGCAAAAAAATATCGTATGAAAAGAAAGCTGAATCACCATTTTCTTATGTTAAGTAACATTTTGTCTAAATGTATTTTTGAATGATCCTATTGTTTTTCTTTAATAAACAATTATTTTATAAATATTTATGATTATTCGAGATATTTCCTTTTCGCCATTTTCTCTTTTCGCCATTAATCCTTTCTTTGTTTTTTTCACCATGCTGTACCATTCATTCTCTGAAAATCATAACACTCTTCCTTGAATTATAGAAATCACACTGGATTAGAATGACGATTAATTTATTGAATGATACTTCTGTCTACTTATTATGACAAATCGTTTGATCATGACCACTGGATTATATAGATATGTGTTTTATGCATTGAACTTTAAAAATGCACTAGGAAAAGCTCAAAAATGAATGATGGCGAAAGACTTCATTCGAGATATTCTTTTCCTTCTCTGACCTTTCAATAGGACTCTTTTATTCGCCTAGTTGATCCCCACTTAGGCTTTTGAATATTGACTTCTCTCCAAGTAGTACATATTGAGTCCGAATTTTGAACTATTCCCAGGTCAACGGTTCCAGCCTCCGGATCCTTCAGGAACCGGCCAGAAAAATACCCGGAACTTGGAAGCAGTATTCCGGCCGGAAATTTCTCGTACTCGGAAACTGAATGTTCCGCTAATTTCCCGCAACCGGAAATCAACGGGAAAAAACTCGGAACCTGGAGGAGCCCGCTGGAAATCGGCAAGGAACACACCGTTTCCCATGGGAAAAACATGAAAACCGGTTCGAAACCTCTTTGAAAGATGTTTGAAAGATCAATGAAAGATCTTTCAAACACTTTGGACGATACTTTTTTCATGCACCTCAGGTTGATGCCGCCTTGTGTACTTAAGTCGCAACAATCAAAAGACATGAATTTCCCACAGATTGCGCACGACGATCCTTTCCTGGAAGCTGTTTTGAGACAGCTATCTGAGTTTAAGGAAAATTAAATACGTCAGAAATCTTTTCTCGCATACCTTACACTAAAAGGTATGATTGAGTCTGAGACCGCCAGGCTCTTCACTACGAAGGTTTAGTATGTACACCGACGTTGGTGAAAGTGAAGGAGAAAATTTGAATCCGTATCCTCCTTAGGAACCAGAATGAAACACCACGCTTTGGTACTTCGTGGGGATGGAAGAGTGTCTGCTGTGGGGCACGACATCAACTCTGTCTTTACACATTACGTGTAGAGATTGTGAAGTCTTTGAAAGGATTTTGAGAGATTTTGCAAACTGTCCTAAAGATATTTGAAAGATCTTTTAAAGTCTTCGAAAGATCTTTCAAGGTCTGAGAAAGATGTTTGAAAGTCGTAGAAAGATCTTTGAGAGACGTTTCAAAATTTTTCAATGTGTTGGAAAGATCTTTGAAAGTCTTAGAAAGATTGTACAGTCTCATAAAGATATTTCAATGGTCTTTTATAATTTTTGAAAGGGTTTTGAAAGATCTTTCAATCTCTGGAAAGTTTCAGAAAGACGTTTGACGGTCGTTGACAGATCTTTCAAAGTCTCAGGAAGTCTTCCAAAGATGTTTGAAAGATCTTTCAAAATGTTCGAAATGATTTTGAAAGATGTCTTAAAGTCTTTGAAAGATCTTTGAAAGTCTTTGAATGATCTTTGAAATATCTTTCAAAGGTCTTTGAAAGACCGGATATGGGCTTTGTCAACGAAACGGAAAGAGGTGGGATATAACCGAATCCTGTGATCGGGACGAAAGCCTGGAACCGTAGTTTGGAACCTTGCCGGAAACAGCAGGTATACGACTCGGATCCCCTTAAAGTGATTAAGAACAGGAAACTTAGTCGGGAACCGCACCGAAAACGACAGCCGTATCCGAAGATCGAACCCGGAGGTAGGAATGAGCGAGAACTAAGCAGGATCCGGATGACGGATCCGATTTGAGAACACTGCTTCCAGGAATTGGATGGAATTTCACGGGATCCGACTGTTTCCCGCCGTACATCTTTGACCTGGGTTTCGACAGTGTTACTCTTGTGAACTTCTTGTACTCATTTTTGAATCGGTCGAAAGTATAAAGAATCGTAATAATCACACAAAACTCATTTTTTCACGCGTAATAGAGTGTGCATCATGCTCCGACAATTCTTGCTTTTCCTGTCTTTTAAAACCATCAAAAATATTTCGAATCCTGTATTCAATAACTTTGTAGAGATTTGAAGGAAGATTCTTCTGCTACAAAACAAGCTGCATAGATTTACAAGTACAAAAAACTCAAAAATGAAAATTATGGCCTTCTTTTCATAAAGTTCGTTATGCTGATCCTACTTACGAGAACGGCTGAACTATACTTTTGTATTTCAATTACTAAAATCGAGCATAAAGTGGTTTTAATTATCATTTAATTCATCTAAACTTAATTTTAAGTGATTGCCCTAGGCAAGCATCATTTAGATTCCAATTTGTTTTCTAATTCAATATGAACTGGGCATGATGCTTTCTCAGCCGTTGAGGATAGAACCCTTGCTAATTTTCTGATAAGCTTAGACAACAACATGTTTTGTCATTAGAAAGTGGAGATACCTCTGCTCAAATCTGATTTGCTGAAGCGAAAATTCCTCTGACCAATCAAGTTCTAGGAGTAATTTTCTCCAATCTTGTATAAAAACAAACATATTGTGTTCTAGCATAATCACAAGGTTAGCAGGGGTTCTCTTTTAAGTGACTGAGACAGCTTCATGCTGAGTCCGTATTGAGTGGGAAAAAAGCTGGAAATTAAATGATATCTGTCGAGCACAATCGTTTAAACGTAAATTTAAGTCAATGAGGTGTTAAGGAAAAACATTTGACTAAATTTTACGTTATGTTAAATGATCAACCCTTAATTTCTGCACATTGAGTTTACAAACTGATCATATTACTTCAATGGATGATGCTATGTTGTTCAACATAACTTTAACTTTCGCTATCCTAATTTCCTGCCTAATAACTAACCTGTATTTGAATTTTATGTGATCATGAATTATTGCACAAAAATTTCGGAAAGTGTAACATTAAAGTTTAGATATTAACTTGTTTCAGTAAAATTCTACTATTAAGTACTGATTTGAATTCGATTTCAAGGATATATTTGTTGATACAATTCCGCAAATAAAATTCAATTGAG